AAAAAAAAAAAAAAAAAAAAAAAAAAAAAAGTTTTGCTGATTAACTATGGATTATACTAGCAGCACACAGAATAAAAGGAAATAAAATACTACTGGCTCAGCCAGGTGCAGTGGCTCACGCCTGTAATCCCAACATTCTGGGAGGCTGAGGAAGGCAGATCACTTGAAGTCAGGAGTTCGAGACCAGCCTGTCCAACATGGCAAAACCCTGTCTCCACTAAAAATATGAAAATTAGCCTGCTGTGGTGGCGGGCACCTATAATTAGCTACTCAGGAGGCTGAGGCAGGAGAGTCGCTTGAACCAGTGGGGTGGAGGTTGCAGTGAGCTGAGATCATGCCATTGCACTCCAGCCTGGGTGACAGAGCCTGACTTCGTCTCAAAAACAAAAACAAAAAAACAAAAAAAACTCATAGCAGCCAGGCATGGTGGCTCACACCTGTAATCCCAGCACTTTGGGAGGCCAAGGCAGGTAGATCGCTTAAGCCCGGAGTTCAAGACCGGGCTGGGTAACATGGCAAAACCCTCTCTCTACAAAAAAATACAAAAATTAGCTGGGCATGGTGGCTCCTGGCTGTGGTCCCAGCTATTCAGAAGGCTGAGGCAGAAGGATCACCTGAGCCCAGAAGGCAGAAGTTGCAGTGAGCCGAGATCACACCATTGCACTCTAGCCTAGGCAACAGAAGCAAGAACTTGTCTCAAAAGAAAAAGAGAGAAAACCACAGCAAACCCAGTGGTTCTCAAATAGGAGGGATTCCGCCCACACTGAGGGCATCTAAAATGTGAGTGGATATTTTAGAGTATTACAGGTAGCACAAATGGCATCTCTAGACAGGAATTAAGGATGATACTAGATGCACCGCAATTCTCAGGGAGGTCTTGAAAAATAAACCGTCCCACGATTCAAAGTGCGTTTAAGAAAAACCACCCTAGTCTCTTGAAGATACTGAAATAACACCTGACCCTGTGTTTCACTCACATACCTATTCACTCATTCAACTTACTGAGCACATATCTACTATGCCAAGCACTGTTATTAGGTACTTTAGGACAATAAGCCAAGTCGTCTACTCAGACTTGGAGAAACAGTAAGCCTAGAATCCCAAAATGCTGGGAAGGCCCCGCATTTTCTGTTCCCAGAAAACAATGGTACTTCCCTGCCACACCCAGAGCTGAGCCTCACCTTCGAGATACCAAGCCCATGCCCAGCCTCTCTGCCTGCTCTCGCTTCTTCCCTTCCAGATTCTGTAGCTTCTTTTCCTCTTTCTTACGATCAATCTGGAGCTCCTGATAGGCCAGACGCATGGAGGCGACCCTTAGAGAGAACAAAGGTATCAGCAGCCACCACCCATCCTGACCTGCCCAACCTACCCACCCCACAAGCCCCACACGAGCCTGAGGCTCCAGCAGCAAACACTCACATGGACTCCTCCGCCTGCTTCTTGGCATCGGCTGCCTGCTGCTCTCGGAGCTTCTCTGCCACCTGGGCCTGCCGTTCAATCTCATTGAAGCTCTGGCTGCTCACCTTCTGGGCCCCTAGGCCTTTCTTGGCACCCAGCTGGGAAGAGAATCGGGTAAGGCGCTTTGCCAATCTCGCTCTCCTCCAATCCCTCCCAGGCTCAGGCACTCTAGCCACACCCACAAGGAAAAGGCCCTTCTTAAAGTTTAGGGTAAAAAATAGAAGCCCAACCAGCATGTCCAAGAGAACAGTGCTCCGCTGGAGCTGAGCGTGGGTGGCTCACACAGCTCCGGCAAAGCCCAGGCCTGAGGACGGTAGTTAATGCTGACAGGGCCAAGTATGTGCCAAGCACTCTGCTAAGCACTAGATGTGCTCCATCTCACGGGCCCCTCCCAGCAGCCCTTGAAGATAACAATCTTCAATTCGGAGAAGCACAGTGCCTTTACCAAAGTCATATAGCTGGTAAGTGGTAAGGTCAAGGGACAAGCCCAGGTAGTCTGCACCCAGCTCCTAACCCCTCTCCCCACCTACCCCTTTCTTAGCTGCTGCTGGCTTCTTCTTGCCAATGATGGAGCTTTTCAGTTCTGCGTGAGAAAGTGGGTGGGTATGAGCTAAGACAAAGGCAGCTCAGAGGCAGCAGCTCAGTCCACACCATGCAGCTTCATGGCAAGAGCCCCTAAGAACAAATTCAGGCAGGGGAAGGCAAAGCTGCCACCACCAGCTCCAACCAGCGGTGTCCAAGCCAAAGACAGACGTGGCTGGGGTATTTGCTGGCGCCCAGCAGTGAGACAGAAACCTAGACCTGAAGCACCAGAGACACTCAAAGCCCCTGAACAAAAACAAAAACTGCAAGGCAGGGGCGAGACGGTGAGCACCAGGCTCAGCTCCTAAGGCAGGAAGCTGTGGGCAGGGCCCAGGGTCCCCAAGCAGCTGTCAGTTACCTCCGGCAGGAAGGGTCCCTTTAGCTGACAGATACATGGACTCTGGAGGAGAAACAGACTTGTGGCTAACAAGACGCCCACCCCAGAGCCGCCAAAGAGCTCCTAGGCCCAGCGATCTCTATGAAGCCCTGCTTCACCAAGCTATGCCAGCCTTCTCATGGATCAGTCTGACAGTCACTCTGCTGCATTCCAGCCCCAACCCCCAAGAGTCAACAGAACAAACTGAGGTCAGCAAATGGACTGTTCACCCTGAACCAAGGCTGAAGGACACTAAGGAAAATGTAGAAAAGAGTTAAAGGATAGGCTGGGGGCTGGCTGAGAAGGGACAATGTCACCTGCAGCTATCAGCAGCTCAGAGCCGTCCCTCCACCCCAGGAAATGGACCAGACAAGCCAGCCCTACCTCACGGCCCAGGGACAGGTGTCCACTCTCATGCTGGCCTCCCCAGCACTTTGGCTAGACCCAGCCCCACACTCACAGGCTGACCCCAGGCCTTATATACCGGCCCACCCAGATTTATCAATTCAAATGGCTTGGCTCTAAAATCAGCGTTGCAGCCACCATTTTAATCATAGTCCCCACTCCAGAGAGGTCAGACGGATGCTCAGTCTCCTGTGGCCTCTGTCCACACAGCCAGGCAGGAGGAGCTCTGAAAAGAACATTTGAGGTCCACCCTTTCCCAGCCACCCCATGCCCGCCCACTGGCATACTGACCCAGTGAGGCTTTGGGTGAGGTGCCAAGCAGGTCTGTGTTGGGGCCATGCTCTGGCTCTGTGGATGCAATGGTAGGAGTTAGAGATGAAGCTCCTAGCTTCCTGCAACCTCCCCTCGAGAGAAGTGATGGGACAAGAGTCAGTGGCTTTCCTCAGCTTGCCACCAAAAGAGAAAAAGAGTATCTACCACTTCCTCCCAGGATTAAAATGAATCCCGGCCCCCCCAAAGATACAGGAGGACCCTACTCCTATTCTCACGGCCAGATATGCCCTTACAAACCCCAACTCCTTTCCTAGGACCAGGGCACCTGGTTGGAATCTGGGCTGAACTCACGTGCCAGGCCACTGCTTTCTGCAGATGACGCTGACTGCTGGGTCCCTGAAGGCTCAGTGGCTGGTGCATCCCAGGAAGGGGGCTGAAAAGGAGGCCAGATCACAGAAGTTTTGGTGAGCCGCTCCTGCTGTCAGGGAGCACCAAGACCTACAAACACCTTGTGGGCAAGAGATCGTACTCCAAGCCCACGAGGAAAGGGACTGGAGAGTAGCAACTGTGATCTCAAACGAGATCTACTCACCGTGGAAGAAAGCATAAACAAGCAACCCCACCCCAAGCCCTTTACTATTAAAGCCAGAACCCATTCCCCTAACTTAAAAACAGTTAACTGCCACCACCTAGGCAGGCGCAGATCCAAAGGCTCCTCACATACAAATACATTTAATTATCACAATAACCCCTTCGAGGGAGCTATGTCTCCATTTTAGAAACTGAGGTTTTGACAGGTTAACTTGACCACCATCAGAAAAAAGCTGAGTAGAGAACATCAGAGTCAAACTTCAGCACCCAGTGCCAATAAGGAAGAAACCCTCCTCAAAGGGGTGGGGTGGGGAGGAGGGAGTCCTTTCACTGACCCCCAGCACAGTGCCTTTCTTATAGGGGAAGAATCCAGGAAAACGTTTTTGGGGCCCCAGACACCTCTTGAATCTTCAAGAAGCTGCTCCTCTTCCCCACCAGCCCAGTTTATTTATAGGAAGCTATTTCTAAGGAGGGCTATACTGCACCCCCAGTTATGGAGGAGAAAACACCTGGGCCTACCCAGCAGGAGCAGTGGACTCCAGATATAGTGTCCGAGACATCACACCAAAGCAAATGGCATTTATGGCCATGATCACAGAAGGCCCCGACCTTGGTAAATAAACTGTCAAGAACTGGGAAAAACATTCCTTGTGGGCACTCACTTGAGTGTGTTCTGTGAAGAAATCAGAGTCCTTCTTCTCCGGGGAGTGACTAGGAACAGCACTACTCATGTTGTCTATCCAAAGCTAGAAAGGAGAAGGCACCCCTGAAACACAGGGCTCTGAATATTCCTGCTCACCCTCCTGCCCCAGCCCCAAGAACAGGCACTTACATCAGTGCCGTGCCTAGCCAGGGCCGCACTCCCCAGCTGCCGGATCTTCTCCCGGTACATCTGGGCAGCTCGGCTATTGTATTTGGTGTTGGCATCATTGGCCGTGCATCCATGTTGGCGGAAAAAAGCTGTCTGGAAAGCAAAGAGAGCAGCACGTGCTACAGGTGATTCTCAAGAAGGAAACGTGTTGGCTGTAGGAGGCATCCCCTTACCACAGCTGAGTTATTATCATCTTTACAGGATGATACGTCCTATTGACACCAGTTTTTCGAGGTAAAGTTCCTTGAATTCCTGCAAAAAAACAACTTGCAGCATGCCATCCTCTGATATGACTGACATCCAGCCCTCACTGCACCTGGCCTGAGGACAGCATGCCATTCCCAGTCTCCCCATCCTTGGTCCAGGACAAGCCCACAAGACACAATGACTATGAAGGCTCCAACTCCTGTGGCTTTTCCCCAAGAACACTTGCCCAGTTTAATTGGAATTTGAAACCCATTTAAGAGAAACTGTGACCAGTTTCGAAGTTTTTTTAAAAAAAATAGCGTATGGTGGTGTTACAAAACAGAGAACCCTCTGAACAGGGAAACTGAGAGGGCCCCTTAGAGAGTTGTGCAAAGTTAGTACCCAGGCAGAAGAACAGAAGGTGGGGGAGGTAGAAGGAGCTTTACCGCATTGGCATTCCCGCCGACCTGCATACATCTCAGCTGGAACCAGTTCCAGTTGGAATCCAACTCTGTGGACCTGTGTACAAGGGCTGCGTCTCACCCACCAGCAGATACCAGGAAAGGGGTTTCCCTGGCCACCCGATACCTGTCATTTGGCCTCAGGCTGCTCTAGGCACCCAGGAAACAATCAGCCATCACCCCATTTCCTCCACACTACCCTGTCTTTGCTCTTCATTCATCCACTCCAAAGAGTACTAATTATGTCCCCAGATCCGAAAGGAGGTCACATTCTCAGGCATACACGCCTGGATTTGGCTTTCCCCTAAGGGATGGTCACATTCTCACTAGAGTCATACTGGGCCAACAACGTAACAGCAACAACAAGGGCAACGCCTCCCTTTCCCCGCAACTAACGCTCAGAGTCTCAAATTTGACCGTCAAAAAAAGAGAGTTTTGACCCAGAGGCGAAGACGACCGCCTATGTGCCAAGCGGCCCACACAGGTGGTTCCCTTCAGCAGGAGGCTACCGGACCCTCGGCCCTGAGGCTTCCGAACACCGAATTCACAGCGGTCCAAGTCGAGACAGCCACTCACTCTTGCTGTCCACACAGCCCTGGCGGGCCAGGTGGAAACACAGCAACCGCGCGGAGACCCCACCTGATGAAGCTCAGATGGACGCCGAGGGAGCGGTGCACCCCAGAGCAGTCAATGCACAAGAAAACGCCATACGTGATGCTGGCCCAACTCGGATTCTTGGCGCCGCAATCGAAACACGCCTGGGTGGAGGAGGCGATGAGCGAATGGTTAGAGGCCCCGAGTAAAGGCCGGGCGCCGACAACCCAGAAAAATAGCCCACCTCCGCCCTTCTCCCTCCCTCAGGCCCCAGGGGAACGAGAGACTCCGCGCGCCCCCTGCTCACGCACCTTGTTGGTTGGAACTGCGCGAAGCCTCTTAAAAAGGGTCTGGATTTCGGTCTTGCTCGGTTCCGCCGCCATTTTCTCTCCTTCCCAGACACAACCGCGACCGACGGGTCCCGCCGCAGGCCAATCCACGGCGGGGAGGGCGGGCTCGCCAGTGCCCCGGCCAACCGAGGGGTGGAGTGACTGGGGCACAATCTGGACCAATGGGCAGCAGGCGGGATGGGGGCGGCGACGTCAGCCACGGCCGCAAGAATCAACGCCGTGCCGGGCCAATCCGCAGCCGGGGAGGAGCGACGGCGCGCGGGCCGGCCCAAACCTCCTCGAGCGCGCCGCCCCGACGCCGGGACTCCCAGGTGGCGTCGCCCCCGCGCGGCGCGAGCGGCGGGAGGCTTCAGGTGGGGACCCCCTACTCCAGCCAAATACAGATCGGTGAATAAGGAGTGGCAGTCTGCCCAAACACTCCTCGTTCCTCTGGCCTGAACGGGCAGACGCACTGGCTGGCCTCTCGCCCAGCCTCCTGCCGTTCTCAGCTCACAGCAAGCCAAACAATGAGTCCCTTCCACTCCAGATTAGGATCTCAAAGTTCCAGGGCAGGTACCACGCAGGCAAACCCTTTTCCAACCCCGGCCCCATAACAGACGCTAGGCCTCTCTCCAGATGCCCTCTGGAGGCCTGGCACAGTGTCCTATCAAAAAGATGCACATGAGCCCGACAGTGTTTTTTTTTTTGTCAAGTTTTAATACACGCTAGAACAAGCCACAAAAGAGGGTGTTGCTAGGCCGGAACTACACTCACCCCAAGCCCACTCCAGGAACCCCAAAGCAGAGGTCAGGAACTGGGTCCACAGCTCCTAGGGAGGCCCAGGCACCCCTGAACCATTCTGTCACCTCTGACCTCGCATCTTGCCCTCATCCAAGACTCAGTTGGCCCTTCCCTACCAGTCCCTTTCTAGACAGGCCCTTTCCCTCCCTGGGTCCCAGGATTTCCTCCCTCAAGGGACAGAGGAGCAGCAGGGGAGCGATGGTTGAGGGCCCTGAGGGTCCAGCTGTCCAGGAGAAGCCGGGCTCTGCCCCAGGGTGTGAAAACGTCGCCGAGGGGCTTTCAGGGCACTCAGGCGCCCACACACTCCACGTAATTGGCAGGGTACAGGCCAATGCGGCCGCTCTGCAGCTGGCCCTGGCACCAGCCCTGCTCATCCTCCTCGCTCATTTTCAGCAGCTCCTCCCCTG